TGGTGTAAACCCGGGAGGCGGAGTTTGCAGTGAGCTGAGATCCGGCCACTGCACTCCAGCCTGGGTGACAGAGCGAGACTCTATCTCAAAAAGAAATAAAAAATAAAAAATAGTTTCATCTGAATATTACTCATCCATAAAAAGGCTGATTCTGACACATGCTACAACACGGATGAACCTTGAAGACATTATGCTACATAAAATAAGCCAGTCACAAAAATAAAAATACTGTATGATTCCAAATATATAAGTAATCAGATTCATAGAGACAGAAAGCAGAATGGTGGTTGCCAGGGGCTGGGAGGATTGGGGAATGGGAGGATTGCTTAATGGGTTTGGAGTTTCAGTTTGGGAAGATGTAAAAGGTTCTGGAGATGAATGGTGGTAATGCTTGCGTAACAACATGAATGTACTTAATGCCATTGAATTGTACAATTAAAAATGGTTAAATGGGCTGGGTGTGGTGGCTTACGCCTGTAATCCCAACACTTTGAGAGGCCAAAGCAGGTGGATCACTTGATGTCAGGAGCTCAAGACCAATGTGGTCAACATGGTGAAACCCCATCTCTGCTAAATACAAAAATTATCCAGGTGTCGTGGCACATGTTTGTAATCCCAGCTACTTAGGAGGGTGAGGCAGGTGGATCACTTGAACCTCAGAGGCAGAGGTTGCAGTGAGCCGAGATGGTGCCATTGCACTCCAGCCTGGGCAACAGAGCAAGACTTCGTCTCAAAAAAAACAAAACAAAACAAAACAAAAAAAACTCCAAAAAAAAAAAGTTAAATGGTGAATTTTGTGTTATGCTTATTTTACCACAATAAAAACAATTTTTAAAATAGTCTCATCAAAGTAATGCATATCATGGTTAAAAAGCAACAGCCTCCATCTGCCTGACACCTTCTATGATGTCAAAGAGTTCAGACTCAGCCGTTTCTTCTAAGACTTGCCTTTATATATTTATTATGCTTCTCCTGCCTTTTTTTTTCTTAATGTAGGCAGAATAAATGGTAAAGATTTCAAACAGTGAAAATTAGGTCTTCATCCGACCCCCATTCTCTCTGTTCAAAAGCCCCCCTCAAAAAAGCAATGCCAGGTTTCCTGTATATTTTTCCCCTAGGTACTCAATGCATAAATAAGCATATTCTATACATATATACATAGCTTCTTTCTCTTCTTTTTCTTTCTTTTCTTTTTCTCTTTCTGTCTCTCTCTCTGCTTCCTTCCTTTCTTTCTTTTTTTTTTTTTTTACAGGAGACCAGAGTTTTATTATTACTCAAACCAGTCTCCCCCAAAACTTGGGGACTGCAGTTTTTAAGGATAAAATGATGGGTAGGTGGTCGGAAAGTGGGGAGTGCTGATTGATCCAGTTGGAGATAAAATCATAGGGAGTCGAAGCTGTCCTCTTGCCCTGAGTCAGTTTCTGGGCAGGAGCCACAAGACCAGATGAGCTAGTTTATCAGTCTGGGTAGTGCCAGCTGATCTGTCGAGTACAGCGTCTTTAGTTACAGAAGAGGAAGGCAGTGGCAATCTGATATGTTAGGAACCCTGTACTGTGACTGTGTAGACAAGGTATGAGGCCAGCTCTCCTGAGGGGCTTTAATTGCTCTGTAACTCAACTTTGATTCCTTAAAGCAGTCTGTTTGTATTTGAAAGCATGCCATTCCAGTCAAAGCCTTGACAAAATAACCAGAATCTTCAACTGTGTCCCAAAGTCAGGCAATTGGTGCCGTGCAATTTTCCTTTGAATTGGGGGTCTCTTCAGTATAGTCCCTTCATGGTTTGCCAGGAAGATGTTACTGGAAAGGAGTCCCAATCCAGACCCCCAGAGAGGGTTCTCGGATCTTGCACAAGCAAGAATTTGGGATGAATCCGTAGAGTGAAGTGAAAGCAAGTTTATTAAGAAAGTAGAGAAAAGAAAGGCTACTCCATAGACAGAGCAGCATAGCTCCTTGGCTACTCTATAGACAGAGGAGCATTGCTCCTTTGCTTTTTGCACAGTGGTGACACATATGGACTCCCTCTTTTTTTTTTTGGACAGGGTCTCACTCTGTTGCCCAGGCTCACTGCAAGCTCCACCTCCCGGGTTCAGGCGATTCTTCTGCCTCAGCCTCCTGAGTAGCTGGGACTACAGGCATGTGCCACCACGCCTGGCTAATTTTTGTATTTTTAGTAGAGACTGGGTTTCACTATGTTGGCCAGGCTGGTCTTGAACTCCTGACCTCAGGTGATCCGCCCGCCTTGGCCTCCCAAAGGATTACAGGCATGAGCCACCGCGCCCAGCCAACATTCTATTACATTTAAAAGCATATATATTTCTTGAATTTTCAAGAGCTCTCTCTCGGTCTCTGTTTCTTTTTTCCTCATACCATCCAGTTGTATTTGATGATACAATGCCCCCTTGAATCCCTGGGAAAATGTAAATAGAGGGAAAAAACTATTTTTTAGTTCTTTTTTGTTTCTTGTGTTATTCCTATTTCCTCTGAGCCCATTTTATTTGTTTGTCTTTCTCTGAGTTTGGAGGCTTTCCTCAAATGTGTGGTCATCTTTGATTGTCCATTCATATTTAGGAATGAAGAACTAAAAAGCCCATTGACTAGCTGGTATGCCTTAGGTTGCCAGTGGCAACCAGTCAGTCAGTCACTAGAGTAGAGGACTTCTTCTCTCCACTCCCACCCCAGTGCCACAGCATGTCTTCTGGGGACATTAGATTTCTCCAGAAACCCCCTGATCTCCCACCTGAAGCATAGATGCCAACTTTCCCAGTGCTCTGCACACAGTGGTGGGGAGAGACTGTCCAATGTACAGACTTCCAATCAATCCCCTCTTTAAGCTCTGTGTCTTGCTGGTTCTGCCCAGGTGCTCCCTCCGTCGTCTCTGCACATACTCTACTGAGGTTTTCTCTGCCCTGCTGCATCTGTTACCTCCATTTGCTTTTTTTTTTTTTTTTTTTTTCTCTCTCTCTCTCTTTTTTTTTTTTTTTTTTTTTTTTGAGATAGGGTCTGGCTGGGGTTTAGTGGCACAATCTTGGCTCACTGCAGCCTCTGCCTTGTGGACACAAGTGATCCTCCCACCTCAGCCTCCCAAAGTGTTGGGATTACAGGTGTGAGCCACTACACCTGGCCCATTTGCTTTTTAGTGTCCTGAAATTTGTTGAAATATCTTGTCAACTGAGGTTACTTCACCCATTATCTTTATTGTTGTGGGTTTATTTATTTATTTTTTTATTCCTTAACAGTTATTTTAGAAGGCCCTTAAGAGACAAGGGGATAAAACAAATGATCAGTTTATCATCTCCGGTCATGACATGCCAGCTCAAGCTCACTTTTGCCCCCACTCAGTACCACACCGGCCCAATTGTGAGGTCCTCAAAGTGTCTCAGGCCTCCTATTATGGCTCCTTCCTCCCTTAACCCCAGGATTAGGGGGTTCCCAAAGTTCTCTCCTCCTCAGGAAAGCACTGTGGACTCCTTTATCCTGAGGATGCATGACAGGTGTCACAGTCTGTATTGGTTCAAACCTAACAAATGAAGTGTGAATGGTGCAATTTCAGTACTAGGCTTGGTTTGGTGAAGACAGATCTCAGGCATGAATGCAGTCCTTATATGTTTTGAGCACCTAAATTGGTATCATGTTACTCGCTGGTGATAACACAAGACTGACTCTCCCAAAGGACTGAGACAGTTTCTGGAAAGGGGCTGTTCTACTCAGCACTACACTGTGTCCTCAGACCCTGACATGCAGCCTGTGATCACTGAGGGGCTTTTGCGGTCCCTGACCAATAAGACGTAAAGCCTGGTTGCCCTGGTGGTAGCTGCATGGGGCAGACCCATGGGCCTAGGTGATATCCCCAAGACTAGGACAGCAGGCCTCCTAGAGTCCCCTACCTAGAGGATCTCCAGCAGACAGGATCTGACCAACCAGCCTGGTTTGTGCAGGACTGAGGGGTTTCCCAGGACATAAGATCTTCAGTGCTAAACCCAGAAAGTTCTAGGCATATGGGGATGAGTTGGTCAACCTACATGCAGAGGGCTTCTCTGCTGGCCTCTCCCTCCCTTCAACTTCAGGCTCTTTCCATAGAGGAAGGTTTGGGGCCTTGCTGGCTGCTCTAAGCTAACTTGCCAGGGTCCCAACTAGACCCCTCTGCCCAACCCCCAAATTATAGGCTCACTCCCACCTCTTCCCCATCACTGAGCTGTAAAGGACAGTCTGGCTTCTCCCAGGGCAGAAGCCCTTCTACAGCCTCCTTCACCGGTCCCCCAGCTCTGCCTGTAGCCCCCGAAATGGGAGCTGGGGTTGCTGTGTCCCTCACAAAGGGCTTTCCTGACACCTCCCCTCAATATTCCAACAATGACCTCATTGGACTCCTCTTCCTCATCTCAATTAATAATGCTATAAAATAATGATAAATGACATTTGCAGATCACTTATATGTCAGACCTCATGCTAAGCTTTTACTATATATCACCTCATTTAATCATCTGAATGACATCACAGGCAGGTACTATTATCCTTATTTTACAAATGAGGAAACTGAAGCTCAGAGAGGCTAACTTACTTAGAGCCACACAGATGGTCATAATTGCAGAAATAGAGCTCAAACCTAGGAGTATCTGATGCCCAAGTCTAAGAATGTGAAATGGTCTTGAAATGTCCAGTTTAAGTCCCGCCTCCTCCAGAAGGCCTTCTCCAATCATGTTTGCCCCCTGCACCAAACTTTCACAGAAAACCCAACTCCAATGGCTTAACTCTTTTTTTCTTTTTCTTTTTTTTTTTTTTTTAGGTGGAGTCTCACTCTCTCGCCCAGGCTGGAGTGCAGTGGCGTGATCTCGACTCACTGCAAGCTCCGCCTCCCGGGTTCACACTATTCTCCTGCCTCAGGCTCCCAAGTAGCTGGGACTACAGGTGCCCACTGCCACGCCCGGCTAATTTTTTGTATTTTTAGTAGAGATGGGGTTTCACCGTGTTAGCCAGGACAGTCTTGATCTCCTGACCTCGTGATCCGCTTGCCTCGGCTTCCCAAAGTGCTGGGATTACAGGCGTGAGCCACCGTACCCGGCTGGCTTAAACTTTTAGGACATTATTTGTTTACTTAACAAGAAGTCCTTGTAGGGATGGTGCAGTAACTTAGATACAACAAGGACCACAACTCTTTCCATCTTACTATATCATTATCCTAAGGGTATAGGCATGGCAGATTGTACTTACCCAATATAATACTTGGACACAACAATATCTCCTACACCACTTGCTCTTCTGCAGTGTGACCTTGCCATTCCCTCATCAACAGGTACAGTCTAATTCTCTTCCCTTTGAATCTGGGCTAGCCTTAGTGACTAGCTTAACCAATACAATGTGGAGGAAATGACATTTTGAACTTTCAAGGTTAGGTCGTAAGTCTTGCAGCATCTGTCTGGGCTTCTTAAAAGTCTTAGTCTTAAAACACTTGCCCTTGAAAACCAGCTGCCATGCTGTGAGACACCTGAGCCATAAGGAGGTGCCCTGGTGAAGAAAGTGACCAGGTCAAGAGCTCCGGATGAATTCCCAGGGAATATGCAGCATCAACTGCCAGCAATGTGGGTGAGCCATCTTGGACATTCAGTCCAGTAGTCTTTAAATGAGTCTTGGTCAGACTGCAAGAATGTGAGAGCCTTCATGTAGGACCCGTTCAGTTCAGCCCAGTCAACCTACAGGATAGTGAAAGATAACAATACATTGTTTTAAGGTACCAAATTTTGGGGGTGATTTGTAAAGCAGTAATAGATAATTAAAACAATTGGCTTTCTTCTAGCCTGTTGCCTCAAGTTATAAGATGACTGCTTCAGCTCCAAGCATCATTTCTTTTTTTTTTCTTTTTTTGTTTTTTGAGACGGAGTCTCACTCTGTTGCCCAGGCTGGAGTGCAGTGGTGTGATCTCAGCTCACCGCAAACTCCACCTCCCAGGTTTAAGTGATTCTCCTATCTCAGCCTCCCAAGTAGCTAGGACTACAGGCACCTGCCACCACACCCGGCTAATTTTGTATTTTTAGTGGAGATGGGGTTTCACCATGTTGGTCAGGCTGGTCTTGAAGGCCTGACCTCAGGTGATCCACCTGTCTCGGCCTCCCAAAGTGCTGGGATTACAAGCATGAGCCACTGCACCTGGCCTCCAAGCAGCACTTCAAACAACCATATCTAAAAGCAGAAGTGAGTACAGAGCAAAGGCTTTCTCCTTGAGTGACTTTAAGAGGAACGAAAATCTTAACCCAGAAGTCCCCCAGTATTATCTCTGCATATCTCATTGGCCAGAATTGGGCTATACCCTCTCCTAACCAAGAGAGAAATGGGCAAAGGAAAAGGAAGAGGGAAATGATTGTCGGGTAGACAACCAACAGTGTCTGCCATACTTGTTGATGTGGTGGCTCTAGGAGAAAGAAGAGTCAGGTGGGAAAATGATCCAAGACTAAAGAAGGAGCCTTCCCTATTTCCAGAAGCAAAGCCTCAGTGGCAACAAGTCTATTGAAAGCTCCTTCTTTAGATAGATAGCATGGTGTGCTGACTAGAGTTCTGCTCTGGGAGGCAGAACCTGGCTCTAGTGTGGTATAATATTGCTGAGTCAGTTTCCCATTTTGTGCCTCAGTTTCCTCATCTGTACAATGAAAGGATTCCTTCTAATTCCTTCAGGTTAGGAGAAGCCAGGGCAGAAGGGAGGTGCTGGAAGCTTAGCTTGTGTGTAGGTGGTGAATGGTCCAAGTCAAGCTCAGCAGAGCCTGCCTCTAGCCACAGATGCCGGGATTTACCAAACAAACCCTAATCACTTAATGAGAAATGAAAATTGTGCCTGGTTCCTCCACTTAATTACCCCTTTGAAAACAACACACAGGAGATTTATGGTAATCACCATAATCACCTCATAAAAACCCGAGTGTTTAAAGATGGACACGCCTCATTTCTGGGAGGAATTAGAGGCAAAAATCAAGGCAAGGAATTTCTGGCCTGCCTTGGCCTTGGCTCCCTGGAATCCAGAACTCTGGCCACAGAGTGCCCGCTACCCTGGATAGCCTCCTGGTCCCAGCCAAATATTGTTCCTAATGCTCCACAGCCAAGGTGTCCTTGCAGGCCTGCTTCCTGGGTCTCCTCTGTCATGATGTACCAAGAAGACTCACAATTCTGAAGGTCAGGTGGAGGTCCTTTAGGAGGAGACAGGAACATCTCTGAGTCCTGTCACTTATAAAATCTGAGCTAAAAGACTGGAGGGGAGGTTGAGGGACACAGGCTGTTCCTAGCTGTGGAAAGCCATAGCTCATAGGTTTTCCTGAGGCCATCCAGTCCTGACTTGTACATCTCCCATGACGAGGAGTCTAGATCTCCCGGGACATTTACTGAGATACACAGACAGCTAGAAGATTCACACCCTGCTCAGCAGAAATCTGTCCTCTTTCAGCTCCTTATAACTAGACTCAGATCACTGGGCATCAAGGTTGTAAGTGTCCTCTGGGTTTATCTTCCCTCCATAGCAATTTCTTTCTTTCTTTCCTCTCACTCTCCTATGTGCAATTCCTTCATTTATTCAAAACTATTAAATACCTAATGTGCATCAGAGACTATCAATTATTTTTTTTTTCCATTTTTTAAAAGAGATGGGGTCTCACTCTGTCACCCAGGCTGAGTGCAGTGGCATGATCATAGTTCACTGCAGCCTTGAACCCCTACACTCAAGCAATCCTCCCGCCTCAGCCTCTCATGCCCGGCTAATTTTTAAATTCTTTGTAGAGATGGGGTTTCACTATGTTGCCCAGGCTGTTCCTAAGCTCAAGCGCTCCTCCAGCTTTAGCCTCCCAAAGTGCTAGGATTATAGGCGTGAGCCATTGTACCCAGCTTGACTATCAATTCTTAACACAGTAGGCAGAATGATCCTTTGAAAACCTAAACCAGATCATGTTACTCCTCTGTCACTCTCCAGTGCCTTCCCAAATCAGAGTAAAGGCACAATCTTACAGTGCCCTGCAGGACTCTCATGTCCTGCCCTTTGCTCACTCTGCTTAAGCCACACGGGTCTCCTTGCTGTTCCTGGAAAACACCAGATCCTCTCCCGCCTCCACACCTTAGTACTAGCCCACTGTATTCCCACTGCCTGGAATGCTTTTTTTGTGTATCTACATGGCTCCCTCTCTAGCCTCCTCCAAGGCCCTTCCTGACTTTCTTACACAAAATTGGACCCCCTCCTTCTCTATTATACTATCCTGCTTTATTTCTGTCCATATTGCTTATGACCATCCAAAACAATACACTGCAAAATTTGCTTATTTATCTTGCTTAATGTCTATTTCTCTCTTCTAGGGGTCAAACTCCAGAGGGCAGGGGTTTTCTATCCTCTCTCTCTCTCTCTCTCTCTCTCTCTCTGTTGTATCCCAAACACCTAGCACAGTGCCTGTCACATAGTGGGCAATAAATATTTGTTCAGTGAATGAACTAATGGGGATAGAGCAGTGAAAAAGATAAAGCCCACGCCCTCAAGGAACTTAAGGTCTAACGGTAGAAGCAGACACCAGACAGTCACCCACAGGACTGAGCAACTGAATGATGCATGTGGATAAATGCTAGGTAGGGAAGTAGCAGGTGTAATGACAGTGGTCTGACTGTAGCCAGGAACACTGTCGTGAGTTACTCCAAAAAGCTGTTTGTGAGAGGATTGGAGTTCAGGGTGATGAGGGTTTGGAGCCACAAAGCTCTGGGAGGAAAAGATGCTGGAGAAGCTCAGATTGTCACTTCTAGGCCCTTTAAAGGTGATGAGACTCCAGGCAGAGGGTACTATCTGCAAACGGTGTTCAAGTGCCCACTCTGCCATGTCCAAGACACGTGCTCTGGAGCAAGCCACCTAGGTGCTGGAGTACTTGCTTCCTTATCTCTAAGATGAACATGGGATAACTAGCTCTTAGGCTGGTTGGGAGGTACCAGTGAAATGTTTGTCAGAGCTGGAACCTGCAGATATTCAATAAATGCTAGCTCATTTTCTGCTCCCTTCTTCTTTGTCAAACCTTTTAACATCCAGCCTCCTTTTACCTGGTCACTCGGTTCTCTCTCCTGGCCCTGTGTAAGCATGAAGAGCTGTATGAAAAAGGGAAGCATCTAATCATCATAAATGTATAACTGCAGGTTAATAAAGGTTAACAGGATCTTTCAGGGGCAGAATTTGACAGATTAGACCGATCTCTACTGTGCCCCAGGACGCTTGGCTTTGTTGCAATTAACTAAATCTGCCATCAGCCTCCCGGCCTGATGCCTGTTGGCCTATAGGACCATGCCACTAGAATGAAGAGTTGGAGCAGGGGGTGGCACACACAGCTAGGCCCTGTGGTTCTGCCCATGGCCTTCCTCTGGGGGAAGCCCTCCTTGACTACAACCTAGAGAGAGCTCCTGCACATACCCATACATACACATACACACATGCAACACATATGCAGAGCTACACACAGCTCCCAACTCCACCCCACACCATGGGAGGATGGACTCCCGGCCCCTCAAATCTTTCTCTCTTATTGGTAGGTGGAGTAGGAGGTTGATAAGGAGGCAGCAAGCATATTACTATTTCCCATGGTTAGCATGGACAGTGGGCACACTCAGGCACTGAGCAAATTTTCACCTGTGCAGAGGCCAGCCCTAGCATTAGGCAACAGAGAAGCAGATGAATCAGATCAGAGTCCTGGCCTCAGGGCTCACATTCTAGTGGGGGAAACAGGTACTTGCACAGGTAATTATAATATAAACTACACAGTAGTGGGTCCAAGTGGGAACCTGCAAGAAGAGAGCTTATTTTCCCTTTGGGCTAGGGCAAGGCTGTAGGGATTAGGCAGCCTTTGAGCTGGGCTGAGGTAGGATGGAAGGGCTCCTAGGCAGATAGAACTGCATGAAGAAAGGCACAAAGGTGGGATAGTGTGGTACAAGTTCAGGAAATGACAGAGCCTCTGATGTCAGGGTCAGGCTAGAGCATAAGATGGGGACATAACTGCTTTCACTGTAATGATTTGGTTTGTAACCACCCCTGGGAAACCCCTCCACGAATTAATGCCTCCCAGTCCCTCCCTATACCCACTTGACACCTTGGATGGTTTTGACCAGAAGAACTCTTTCTTGTTTACTGCTTCACTGCTTCACCTCCCTGCCTGGCCGCACATTCAGCTCCTTCAAGTCAGCCTCCCTTGCATCACCTCAAGGACACAGCAGTCCTGCACTCTGGCCCACACTGGCCTTGTCATCTGATCATCTCAAATGGCTGAAGTACCGAGATGATTTCACACAACAGCACCCTTTCTAGTAAAGGTACTTTGCTATATGCTATCTTAGGATGCTATTTTCATAAGAAATCCACTACAGTCAGTTTAGACAAAGAAAGGGGAAGTGATTACAAGGGAACTGGAAGTCTAAAGGAACCAAACACAGAAAAGGACTTGGCCCAGACTTGGGAAAGCTCTCAGGAGTTTCTCCCTGCCTCTGTGCTCTTTTCTCTTCCCGGACTGACCTTCTCCACCAATCAGATCACATGGAGGAAAACATGCCTGCTGACAGCACCTGACAGGTCCAGCCATGTAAAAACAGTCTCCAAATTCCCAAGAGGAGGCGACCGGTATAACGGAACCGCATGTCCAACCCTGGCCCAATCAGCTTTGGGTAGTGGCATGGGGTCACATAAAACAAACACGGCTGCTAGGCTACACCTCGGGGGGTCATTTCTCATAGTCATGTGGATTGGTGAGTGGGCTGTTCTGAAAGAAGGGAGCACAGCAGATATCCCAAAGATGCCCATTACACACCTATAATATAGTGTGACAAAATGCTCATACGACTTCTAGTTCCTAGACTATCCTACTGACCTACTCTGTGACTTCAGGCAAGTCTCTACCATCTTGGGGCTGCAGTTTCTTCATCTGTACACAGAGGAGGATGAGACTAAGCGTCCTATTGGATGCCATAACTCTCCAATTACTTACCCTCTCTGAACTTCAGTTTTCTCATCTGTAAAATGGGAGTAATGATATCTACCTCACAGAGTTATTGTAAGATAATGGGTATGAAAATATCTAACATGGCTTGAGTACAGAGTTATTCAAGAAATGCTGGTGACCCTAGTAGATTTAAATTGAGTGGCTGTCCCTCTCACAATGGTTTCCCCCAAGGGTTGTAGCTATGATTCCCCACGTATTTGGGAGAATTGCTCCTCCTCTAGTTGGGAGCTGCCATACTCCACAGTGAATTGTCAAGGGGTGAGCATGGGTCCACATTGGGCCACTCAGAATCCTTCTCTGGGGCCTTGTTTCAACTGCAGCTCTTGTATCTTCATTTGCAGAACTCTAAGGAGAGGGGCATGTTGCTGCCAACAGCCAGACCCCAGCCTTGTAGAGAAAGTGGCCTCTGAGAGTGAACCTGACATGAAGAGGACTTTTGAACACTCAGTTTCAGACATTTTGAAGTCCAGTTTCATCCTTGCCCTGATTTATGATTTACTACATTTTTCTTTTCTTTCTTTTTTTTTTTTTTTTTTTTTTTTTTTTTTTTTTTTTTAGACAGAGTTTTGCTCTGTCACCCAGGCTGGAGTGCAATGGCACGATCCTGGCTCACCACAACCTCTGCCTCCCAGGTTCAAGCGATTCTCCTGCCTCAGCCTCCCGAGTAGCTGGGATTACAGGTGCATGCCGCCACGCTCAGCTAATTTTGTATTTTTAGTAGAGATGGGGTTTCTCCATGTTGGTCAGGCTAGTCTGGAACTCCCGACCTCAGGTGATCTGCCCGCCTTGGCCTCCCAAAGTGCTGGGATTATAGGTGTGAGCCACTGTGCCCAGCCAACATTTTTCTTAAGTTAGTTTGAGTTGGTATTCTGTCACTTCCTTCCTGATGATACCTTCTTCCTTTCTCTAAGCCTCGGTTTCCTTAACTGTAAAATGATGAGGTCCCATCCTCTCCTCTTTCATCTCTGACACTTTATTGCTGTATTTATTCATTTATTCATTCAGTCAATTAGCCAATCAGTTACTTGGCATTTACTGTGCATGTTATTCTGTCCCTGGTCCTATACTGAACACTGGCAATCTTGCTAGAGAAACAATCACTTCTCCAGTTCTCAAGATTCATATAGTTAGGTTGGAGAGAAGGGTAAGAAAGGATTCAGTACCATGGGTGATGGTGGCTGTGACAGAGAGAAGCACAGGCACTGTGGGGAAATCAGAGGACTTATTCCTGCTTGGAAGGCTTCCTGCAGAAGATGGCTGAGTTTTTCAGACAGGGGTGAGCGCAGAGAGAAAAGGAAAGGTACTACAAGTGGATGAACCTACCTTTGTAAGGGCCCAAAGAATGACAGAAAGCAACAGCCTGGGTGGGAGGGGAAGGGACACAAGAGATGAGGCTGCAGGTTCATCTCTACTCTTCTTGAGCTTATTTGTATTTTTCCCCCATGAAACTTCTAGGGAACAACAATAACAACAAAATACGTCTCCATTTTTTAAGCTTGGAAAATCCCCTGGGTAGAGTCTTTGAGTGCAGATAGATGAAAAGAAGTGGTTCTTGACCACAGAGGAGCACTGGAGCAAATGATTCTTTCTCCATCAGTGTGCCCCACTGGTCCCATGTCCTATCAGGGAAGCCAAGCTGGCTGTGACATCTAGCGGCTGGTCTAGGGCTGTCTGACGCTTCTAAAAATAGGAAGGCAGGTGAGCCTAAGGCCAACCAGAAGGCAGAAGAGCAGCCCAGACAGGCCAGGGTGGAGTGTAAACATCCCTCCTCCCCTTATAGGAGACATACTCATTACATTTTGAGCAAAGGAGGCTCACAATGCACCCTAGAGAAAATATGCAGTTATTGCCCCTAACATGCCAAAGCCCTACTAACGACTGCACGCCTGCTCCAAAGGCACAAACTGTTCCAGATGTTGCTCCCTGCCTCTGGGAGGGCCCTTCCTTCCTCCCGCCCAAGGTTCTGGACTATTTCTAGAGTTACAGTCTTTTGAGAGATATATGTCCCGCTGAGGGGCTTGGGGTGAGTGACTGTCCTCCCTGGGCCTCACAGGGACAGTCTAGGTTATCCTTTCCTTAACAGACTGTTGTAGAGACTATGCCTGTTGGCCTGGTGGGGTGGTGAGAGAAGAGGTGCTAGGCTGGGAGTGGGCAAAGTGGTGAGGGAGGGTTCTAAATTTGGGTATTTTCAGTTTTTGCATCTATGAAATAGTAATGAGTCTGTAGGGAGGCAGTAATTTGCAAACTCAGTTCTTCAAACACACTCAGGAATTGCTCTCTCTGGATGTGTACTGGCATTGGAGCCATCTTCTAGCTGGGTAACTGGGCTCCTTCCACAGTTGTGGCCTTCTGTTCTCTCATCCGTAAATTGGGGATGGTTTTTGAAATTAACATTTTTTCATAGTTAAAGAATGTATGCATTCTTGTAGCTTATTTTTTTTTTAAAACGTAATTAAATAATTTTTGAGTAGGTTACGTAACTCACATGATTCCAAATTCAAAAGATGCAAATAGTAAAGAGTTAAAGTCTCCCTCTCCTTCCTGTTTCATAGCCACACAGTTCTCTCCTCATGAAGCAACCACTGTTTTTTGTTTTTTGTTTTTTTGAGACAAAGTCTCGCTCTGTCGCCCAAGCTGGAGTGCAGTGGCGCGATCTCGGCTCACTGCAACCTGTGCCTCCTGGGTTCAAGTGATTCTCCTGCCTCAGCCTCCCGCGTAGCTTGGACTGCAGGCACGTGTCACCATGCCCAGCTAATTTTTGTATTTTTAGTAGAGATGAGGTTTCACTATGTTGGCCAGGCTGGTCTTGAACCCCTGACCTTGTGATCTGTCCTCCTCGGCCTCCCAAAGTGCTGAGATTATAGGCATAAGCCACCGTGCCCGGCCTGAAGCAACCACTGTTATTGGCTTTTTGTATATTAACTATGGATATATTTTAAAAATCTGTTGAAGTATTAACATATATATAGCAAAGTGCATGTGTCGCAAGAGCACAACATGGTGAATAATGTTCATAGTTTAAATTCTTAAAAGATAAAGAAACAATAAAAATCACCCCAAATCCATCACCCAGAGATAAAACTGTTGATATTTTGGTGTATTTTCTCTTTTGATGTATATATGTGTGTATGTGTGTGTATATATATGTATATGAACATTGGAATCATGCTGTATAACTGATACCCTTTTTATAGTTAATATTATATCATGAACATTTTCTCACTTCATTAAAAATTCATCAAAAATTGCTCTTTTAATGTTTTCCTAGTGTTCCAAGGAATGGATCCAAACTTACCTCAGGATATTGTTCAAGTTTTCCTCTGTGATAAATAACACAGTGATGAGCATCTTTGAACATACATCACTTGGTACATCTCCTCAGGATGAATTCCTAGAAGGGGAATTACTGAATCAAATCGTATGTCTCCTTTAGAAGTCAGGATGTAACAGGGAGAGTCAGGCCTGATTCACGGAGCTGCTTAAAGGATTAAAGAAATTATGTAAGACTCTGGTCTAGTGCTTGGCACAGACACTAAGTTCTGTGAGTGTGAGCCTAAGGGGTCCCAGGGAGAGGAGAGGTAAATGTGTATGCCTCTTCTCCCTGGTGGTTCCACCCGCTGGACCTTCCCTTCCTGAAGCTTGCTGACTGAGCCAGATGGGAGTCTCAGTCTTGTCTGATCTTTATTATTTTAATCATTGCAGTCTTGCCAAGTGGTGGGCTGGTGAGTGTTTAACAGCTAGATTTCTGGCTGGTGGGGGGCACTCTGATTGGTAGCGTTCGTCAATTTCTGTGGTGTAAATACTCCCACTGTGGCCGATTTCAAACTACGACCATGATGTCACCAAAAGCAGTGTTGGCATGAGATGCATAGTCTCACAAGCTAGTTGGAACTGGCTCCAGATCACCAGTCCCTGTTTTTGTAGCCACCGAAATCTCCCTTTCCTCCCTCTCTCTTCTTAACCCCTCCCCATTTAGCCCCCACGCTGGGGCTTTTCTGAGGTGATAGAGACTTAACATTTTGTGGAAGGTGAATGTTGCTAAAGAACAAAAACATCCGGGGCCTATCATGGGGAGGGGGGCGGGGGGAGGGATTGCATTGGGAGTTATACCTGATGTAAATGACGAGTTGATGGGTGCAGCACACCAACATGGCACAAGTATACATATGTAAGAAATCTGCACGTTATGCACATGTACCCTAGAACTTAAAGTATAATAAAAAAAGAACAAAAACATCCTCTCCCAGTCCTCTAAAGGAGAAACTGATGCTCATGATGGTCAAGATGATTGTCCCAGGTCACCCAGCCAGATGATTTTTCACGGAGTCTTATTACCTGATTCCTGCTTGGGACATTTCTCAGCTTCCTGCAGTGGAAATAAACTTTCTTTTCTAGCCACTCCTTTTCTTCCTCTTTCTCTTCAGCGACTGCTCTCCTGGATCCACAAGAGGATGAGGCCCAGGCTTTGCCCTCAGGAGCTAAGAGCAACTGGAGAGGCCAGACACATATGAGCAGCTTGCCAAATTATTACCACTTTCTCACTCAAGTTCTTCAATCAACAGGAGCTTTATACCACTTTCTCACTGAGGTTCTTCAATGGCTTCTTTTAACACTTAGGACAAATCTGTTTAATGTGTCCCTCCGTGCATAACCACCACCCTCCCCCAAATGTCAGCTCCTGAGAGTAAGAATCCCTGGTCTTCATTTTTGGCTCCCTGTGCCTAACATAGAGTCTGCCACAAATCAGGTACTGAATAAATACTGTTGAATAAGTGCAGAGAGGAAGGAGGTGGGTGGGGGCTGGGGGAAGGGGTGAGTGCAGTGTGGTTACAGTTCTAGGCTATGAACTGACTTGCTTCAGGACTTTAGACAAGCCTCTCCCCTTTCTGGACCTCCATGTCCAAAACTGTAAAGAAGGCATATTGGATTCTAGCAATAGTTTAAGAGTGGGGATTTAAAAAATGCCTCCCAGCTACCTCATGTGATTGTAGTTATGCTTTTAGTATCCATTGATGAACCAAAAATCATGACAAAAATAAAAACAACTGCCAAACTTTTAAATGTGGTTGCATTTATCAATCACAGCAACATCTACATCCATTTGAAAAACATTCAGACTGTGTGTGAGAGACACACTGTGCATGCAGTTTACAGACAGCACTGGGTGCCACATGGTTTCCAGATGCCTTTAGCTAAGGGGCCCAGATCATCTCAGAGTCCTTCAAGTACGAGGGACTTATGTGTCTAACATGGGTCACAGGAGGTGTGCAACTTGCATTGGGTCACACAGGACATGAATGGTGGATTCAAACTCAGTCTTCTCCATCTTGGGTTCCCTTTGCCCTGGCAGCCTGCTGACAGCACCACTCCCCTTCGGCTCCCCTGGAAATAAGAAGCAGGGAGGCCTGAGAGCACGGAGATTGCCTAGGGTGCGGGGGTGAGGTGGATGTCAGAACGCTGACAGCTCGAAATGACACGGAACATACTTCAGATGCCTTGTGTGTGGTTTAGGAGCGGCTGGAATTACACCCTCAGGGCTGAGCCAGCATTGTTGGAGCCAGAGCTGAGCCTGGACCCTGCTGAAGCAAGGCCCCACATGGGGGGTCTTGGCCCAGGACCACAGAGCTGAGCAGTGGCAGTGAGGGCAGGAGGCAGATTCCTAGCTGGAAGCCAGCACACGGACCTTTTACCTTTCCAGACAGGTGTGGTCATTCATTCATTCACTTATTCATTCAGCAAGGTAGTCAGTCAGGCACTCAACAGATGCTCACCGAGCCGTGCCCCTCTGCAGCCTATCATAGGGTTCAAGGAGGAATTACTCCTATTCCTCTGGGGAGGCAGGCATGGAGCATGTGATCCAGTCTTTCTGGGTACGGTCAGGCCAGAGGTGCCAGCGGGCCTTTTGCCTGGAGAAGGAGCAAGGAATTGGGAAATGTTTTCTTTTTTTTTTTGGAGACAGAGTCTCGCTCTGTCGCCCAGGCTGGAGTGCAGTGGCCAGATCTCAGCTCACTGCAAGCTCCGTCTGCCGGGTTCACGCCGTTCTCCTGCCTCAGCCTCCCAAGTAGCTGGGACTACAGACGCCCGCCACCACGCCCGGCTAGTTTTTTTATTTTTATTTTTTAGTAGAGACGGGGTTTCACCGTGTTAGCCAGGATGGTCTTGATCTCCTGACCTCGTGATCCTCCCATCTCGGCCTCCCTAAGTGCTGGGATTACAGGCTTGAGCCACCGCGCCCGGCCGGGAAATGTTTTCTAGCAGATGAAATGGTTATCTTCTGTGAGTGGTTCTCAAGGGACAAGCAGGAGTACAGCAGGCAGGTCAGGGAAAAAAGGGCCCTCCTTTCTTGGCAGAGCGGCCAGTGGGAAAAGTAATTAGTTCCCTCTCTACCTTTGGATGGGAAAACTCTCTGGGTTTTCATTTGCTTATTTGTTTGACAATGTGGAAATGGACTTTTTCACAGGGAAAGATGAGACTTGTTGCTATAAAGGTCTTAGAGATGGAAGGGCTAGTTAGACAAATACATGAGACTGTATTTGTATCTAAAGCTGGCCAGTCAGGTTGTTGTAATTTTGATTAGCAAAAATGCAGAGTGGGAGGAGACTTGGCACTTATTTGGCTCAGTATAGAATTTGTGTGTTGCAGGGAATCAGGGAACAGGGAGGGCGGTGAGAAATGAGGAAGGAGGGGTCCACTGGCCAGTTGTGTGGTGCCTGCCAGCCATGCTGATGATGGGGCCTGAGCACTAAGAGTGACGGGGAGCCACTGGAGGTGTTTAAGCAGGGGCCACAGATGAAGCATTGCTCTAGCTGCTGAGTGAAGGAATCCGAGGAGGAGGCAGGGAGACCAGCCAGGAGGCTGCTGCAGTCTGCAGTGAAGAGAATGGATTCAACAGAACTTTCTGAGAACCAGCAGGTCTTGAGACTGGAGGTGGCTGGAGAGGGAGAGAAAGGAGAGGATGATGGCCAGTTTCTGGACTGTGTGACAGGTCAATGTTTAAGCCACCATCTGAGATGGATGGCTGAAGGTTCTCTCTCCATCCCCATCTTGAGTGAAGGGGAGCCAAATGTCTGATGTGGCTCAGAGCCACAGCCTTGGTTCACACCTCATCACATGGTCAGCCTTCTACCTGGTCTCTTGGCCTCTAGCCTCTTCCCTCTCTAGCCCATCCCCTGGTAGACTGAGTGACCTAAATGAGACATCTGATCATGTCACTCCCCGGCTGGAAACATTTCAGACTCCCTGTCTCTAGAAAGGTCCTACTTGGTCCAGCACATAAAGTCATCTCCAATCTGAGCCCGTTTACTTTCCTGTCTCAGTCCCTTGGCAGTCTACACCAGCCACAGTGAATACCAGTAGCAACAACAGCTAACAGTTACACAGCACTGATATGTACCAGGCAGTGTTCTAAGAACTTTACACATATAACTTGTGTAACTCTAAGAAAAACACTTCCCAAAAAATCCTGCACATCCCAGAATGGACAATACACACTTGCCTTCAGATTTTGCACCCAAAGTTGTCTCCCCCTGGTATTCGGCCATCAACCTTCCACCCATCTGATACATATTTATTGCTCATCAACTTCTCCCAGGCACTATACTAAGTACCAGGGATCCAAAGTTGAGTGAGACATGGTATGTGCCCTCAACGCATACAAAGTTGAATGGGGCAGACAGACACACGAAGGAACAATTATAACATGATAAGGTAAGCGCAGTGATGGAGATGTTACGGAGCCACAGAGATTGAGCCCCTAATCCAGTCTGGGGCCTTCCTCACTTGGCCGTCTGCAGCTTTACCCGTTCCGGGATGCATTCCCCACTTTGCAGACAGCGTAAGGTCTCTTCTTCCTGCAGTCCTTACTCTACCCACACCATACACCAACTACCTTTTGTGGGGGAAGTTCAGGGGCTGCTTCCTCCTGAGCACAGTGAAGGCAGAGAACAGTCTGACTCACCATAGGATCCAGCACCCAGGGCAGCCTGGACACAGATGACTGGAATTTGCTAAATGAAAGAGCCTGAGGAGTAAAGAATCACAAAGGGGGCATCTTCCTCCTGGGTTACTCCCTGACGCTCTCTCCAGAGTCAGGCCTGTACCTGCTACCTTTCCTAAGCCTGGCTCAGGCCCTCTGGAGTCAGACCCTGCTGGTAAGGATGGGACTGTGGCTGTCATCCCGAGTTCAGGAGCAGTCTGGTTAGAAAAGGCCTTGCCAGAGGCGGGTCCCAGGATGCCCCCCAGCCAGCGGGAAACTGCCTGCCTCGGGCTTCTGAGGAACAAGCAGTATCCTGGGCAGCTCTAGTTTTGGGTGTAAGAGGGAGGAAGCCCTGCAGCAGCCTTTAGGACCTCTGAGTGGCAAGAGATGGTGTTGGGGAATCTCTGAGATTTCATTGGCTCCAGAGCCCCTCTGCAGCCTCTGGGCTCTGAGACTGGTGGAAGCTGTGATGGAGGGCTTTAGAAATAAATGACTCTGGGATAGCCTCAAACTAAAAGTGTTTGAGGAACATTCCAGGAAGCCTTCAGGAGCCTCAGGCTGGTCCCTTGGGCACTCACTGAGTTAACATGGCTCTTTCTTCCCAGAGCTCTGAAGGGCAATCATGAGGATGGGTGTCTTGGGGCAAGTACCTGAAAGGGCTTTCTGCCTCAGCCCTTTCTCCTAGGCAGAGTAGTTGGGAAGCCCTGGCCCCACCCCATGTTCCTTGCCTCACGGTCTGTCTTGGCTGGTGGTGCCTTTGCAGAACTGGAGCTGGGGGCAGGGAGTCTTGGGGGCTAGTGCTAACAGCTTTGGACAAGGGTGGGAATTTCCACTCCTATCTAGAGAGTCATCGACGCTGTGTGCCCTGACCTGGGCCTTTGGCCTCCAAAGGGCAGTGGGAAGGCCGGCCCCAGGGCCAATCCCTGGCCATTAATCCCTCCTGCCAGCCCGAATATCCACCCAGTGTGGTCAGACAAAGGACTGCCCAGCCCAGCCACTGTGTTCCTCCCGCCCCAGGGGCTCCACTCAGACGCTGGGCCGCCTGGAATCCAGGCCCATGAGAAAGGGGCCGCCTTCACTGGCCATCTTATGCCCGGATGCTCAGCCGCATCACGTCCGGCCCAGGGCCTGTGAAAAGAGGGCCCAGCCACGCTGAAAACACGGATTAGCCCTTGGGCCGCCCCCTGACACCGGCCTGCTCGGCTCCAGCTCCGGGAAGCAGGCCCAATGGAGGGGGCCAGACAGGCACAAAGAACTGGAAAAGTCCGGGTTCTCACCCCTTTGGCTTAGCTCCCCACCCCCACCCTTCCCAGGATTAGCATAGCCAACTACACATTCAGTTTCATTTATTGAACATGTACTATGTCCTAGGCTCTACACATTGACCAGAAGACTGAAAGTACAAGGAAACTGCACGTAGCTACAGGTGGTAATAAAAGCCACTTTTCCCTCAACCCCCTCACTCCCTGGAGGTGTGAGATGGAGGCTGTGGTGGGTGCTTCAGAGGGGCTTCATCCCTAAGGGAAGGTGGTGGCGGTGTATGAACCTTGTCAGCTCTGGTCTGCACTTGAGTCTAGCTGCAGGATTATGTTGCACCTGGTTGAAAATATGCAGGTGCTGAAATAACTTCTCTGGCCCTGCCTCTCTCCTTCCCCTGGGTTAATACTGATTATGCCAATTGTGTAGTAAGAAAAGAAAGCACCTCTTGCTAAGTGCCATTGAGGGCCAGGCACTTTCATACATGATCTCATTTGGCTCTCAAAATGCTGAGAGGGGGCATGATTGCTTCCATTATTCTGTTTGAGGAAACTGAGGCTCACTGAGGCTCAAATGAGAAGTGGCCCCAGGTCACTCTGCTCCTGAAGCTAGATTTCCTGATGCTGCAGTGGCTTGTCTTGTCTTCTTCTTTGGTGAGCTGGGCATTGTGACTGCACCATCTTATGTTCCATATGGCCTACCTTCAGGTAGTAGAATGCAGGGTGGGGCCAGGTGCGGTGGCTCCCAGCACTTTGGGAGGCCGAGGCGGGTGGATCACCTGAGGTCACAAGTTCAAGAGCAGCCTGGCCAACATGACGCAACTCCGTCTCTACTAAAAATACAAAAATTAGCCAGGCGTGGTGGCGGGTGCCTGTAGTCCTAGCTACTTGGGAGGCTGAGGTAGGAGAATCGCTTGAACCTGGGAGTCAGAGGTTGCAGTGAGCCCAGATAGCCCCACTGTACTCCAGCCTGGGTGGCACAGCAAGACTATGTCTCCAAAAAAAAAAAAAGAAAAGAAAAAAGAAAAAAGAATGCAGGGTGGGGAGGTTGAAGAGGGTTCTGAGGCAGGACCTGCTAGAATATAAACTGAGCTGACTCTTCATTGTTGTGGGTGAGGGATTGTCTCTAGATCTCCAAATGTCATCTCTTTCCTCT